TCCCGAAATTTAAGAAGTCTTAGGTCAATATTGTCAAACAAAACTTCCTTATTTAATTATAATGATAATAGTTTCTTGACAATATTGCTAAGCAAGTTTGCTCCAAATATGTTGTTTTATTACATGTATTATGGATAAACATTACTCAACATATTGTTCCTCTTTTCTTTATACTTGAACCATTAAACTTAATTTTTCTTATATTTATTGATATTGATGATATACATGTACACTCATTTTTTTTATCCGGCGACTTGATGCTTTAGCATCAAAACTTTTACTGGTTGTACTTATTTATAAACCATTTTATGATGCGGTCCGTTGCTATGAAAAATCGACCGGATGTAGTATTCAAGGAAAAACAAAAGGCGTCTTCGAAACGATACTCGGATATTCATTTTCACGAATTAGCTCTGATAAAAGTAACCGCATTTCTGAAAATATTAATAATGCTGGTAAATAGCTGTCTTGTACGCTTATTTATTTCTTTTAATTTGTTTATTATAAAAACAGGTTTGTTTGTTACTTTTCCACGAAAACTTGTTGATTCCGTTGTTTTCACTTTCCTGCGTAAATGGATATAATTATACAGGATGAAATCGTGATTCGCAGAAAAGATATATTTAAGTTGAAAACAACATCTTAAATGTTATTATATTATTAAACGACAAACAGAATGTCAGTTAAAGGCACTTTATGCTTCAGAAATGAATAATTTTCCCGTCTGCTGAAAGGACAAATATATGTTTTATAAGTGTGCAATAATGGTTTTAGAACGTGTTAGGTGCTTATCGCTTGAAAAAAACTCGTACTGAATGTTAACTTATTTGTAATAAAGCTAGCAAAATGTAAATAAAGAAAAACTTCGATTTCCATACAAAATACGAAATATGTACGATTATATACTCATTGTTAAAACGTAAAAGAAGCGAAAGATGTTTCGACTGTATGACTAATGAGTAACATTTTGGAAACTATATATCACAGAACAAAAAAATTAAAAATCGTATGGAAAATAAAACTGAAAGCATTTCTGAGGCTTAATTGGCCTTTAACATGGCACAATAGACCTTTTTACAGTACTATTTTTCCGAAGCAATTCGCGCATGCGCATTTTGCGTATGGCATAAAATGCAATAACGAAATACTACATTTTAGCAGACTTAAAGGCTTTAAAGATGTGATTTTAAGTTACTTAACCTGGAAAACAGATTTTTTAACTGATATTTATAACAGATATAAAAAATAAGACTAATAAATCAATGACCAAAAGTCCTCTGTTTAAGGTATCATTAGAATTATAGATACTTTTATACAGAAGTGGTATACTGATATAAACAATTCTGGTCGCCTGCAAACTTATAGCATTTTTAAACATGATTTTAAATGTGAAAAGTATTTTGATTTAATTACAGACAAAAATCATAGAATTGCTCTTACTAAATTTAGAACGTCATCACATAACTTATGTGTAGAATCTGGTCGATATGAAAATATACCAAGATCAGAAAGAATATGTAAATCTTGTTTAATGAGACAACCTGAAACAGAGTATCATTTTTTGTTAGTCTGTCCACGTTATAGAGAATTGAGGAAAAGGTTTTTTAAACCTTATTATTGTCACTGGCCGTCTGTTATAAAATTCGACAGCCTAATGTCTTCTAATTCTAAGAAAACTATATGTGCTTTATCTAAATTTATTTACTTAGCAAATAGACAACGTATTTCATAGTATCTCTTCTAGTGATATCTGAAAATGAAATATATTCGAACCATAATTTATTGTTTAAGATGTTTGCATTTGCATGTATATCTTTCAAAGGAACTGACTTGCAACAGTGAATATTACGTTTAGTCTGTAGGACTTTAGTGTTCTTCATGTCTTTAAATTTTAGAAAATGACAGAATAAGTTAAGTGCAAACTATTCAGGATATTGTAGGTTGGCGTCTGTTTATTTGAAACTTATGCATGCAAGCGCAACATATATATTAAACATGTTAAATATTGAATATTAAACATAATATTCTATGAATCATCCTATGTTTACTGGAAAATCTATGTTTTGATCTCCATACATTGTATATATTACAATTAATACTTGTTATAAAATTCGATAGCCTAATGTCTTCTAATTCTATGAAAACTATATTGTGCTTTGTCTAAATTTACTTACTTAGCAAATAGACAACGTATTTCATAATATCTCTTCTAGTAATATTTGAAAATGAAATATATTCGAACCATAACTTATTGTTTAAGATGTTTGCGTTTGCATGTATATCTTTCAAAAGAACTGACTTGCAACAGTGAATATTACTTTTAGTCTAAAGGACTTTAGTGTTCTTCATGTCTTTATATTTTAGAAAATGATAGAATAAGTTAAGTGCAGACTATTCAGGATATTGTAGGTTGGCGTCTGTTTATTTGAAACTTATGCATGCAAGCGCAACATATATATTAAACATGTTAAATATCATATTGAATATTGAACATAATATTCCATGAAACATCTTATGTTTGCTGGAAAAATCCATGTTTTGATCTCCAAACATTGTATATATTACCATTTATACTTGTTATAAGCATTGTACTATGCTTTATACAAATAAACTTTTCGTATTCGTATTCGTATTCGTATTCATTAGATGACTTTTTCAGTAGTAATTAAGAATGAACCAGCAGGGTGTTAAAGATAAAATTTTATTACCCATGTTTTACATAATATTACACAATTGGGATTCTTTTGAAAATGGATTGGCAAGGCGGTAATTTAGTGTCAAACAGATTGACACGTGACCGGTTGTTATTTGCCAGCTAGTTTACAATATCATTCAACCGGGACGTTTTAATACCGGCATGATATAGTTAATCACGTAAAAATATGAAAGTCGTAATTAAAGCAACTTCAATTTATACCAATCTCATCAATTTATTAATCAATTAATTATTTTTTTGAAGTGACAAAAACTGTGACTGGCATTTATATGTTTTAGGAGAGGAGGAACCGGATGAAATGTGTGTTATTTTACTTGCAATCTTTACTTCTCAAGATTTTGAGAAAAAAAAATTAAATTTAAATATATTTGTGATAAGAAAATTCTGTTTGGCAGCACAATTTTAATTTTGTTTTTGAAGCAGCTTAGATCATTGAAAGCCTAAAACAATCCTACACGGAACTACATTGATCAATTTTTGAAAATATACAACTTAAATGAATAACAAGACACAAACATAAACAAAACTTACAATTAGCCGGCCTTCCGCTCTCTCTCGGAAATACCGTTCGCTCGTTTTACCGTACACCACAATTTTTAAGTGGAGCGGCAGTTTGCCGGGCGTGTATATTGCCACACTTTTTTTGCAAGAATTATATCATCGTCAGGTCCGTGGTCGTAATGCGAATTCTTAAACAATCGTCTTTTCCGTGCATTTAGCCATTTGCTTCAATTAAAGGTATCATAAGTGTTCCTGTTAAAGCTATTTTATATGATTTTCTTTTTTTTTTCCTTAAACTAACTCGTAATTGTCCATAGGAACTCTGGAACAGGTCCGCGTATTGCGGCGCATAAATCCGAATCCGTACCGGCTTTACATATTGTTTGTCCGACCTTTGAATATTATGCGAGCGGGTGGTCTTTATTTATCTGATCTCAATTTAATATAATCTGCTAATTTAAAAATCAGTCAAATTTACGGTATATTGAACATCCACCATTTACCGCAACGTTCGGCGTAAGTTATCCTCCTTGATATGCTTGATTTTTGTTTTAATTTTTCTCTATATGTCACCAGTAATGAATACCAGATGAATGCCTAAAATATTTATCTACGGGTCATGTTTTAATATTACTTTTTTCCAGTTAGGCAAAATAAGTTGGACCATATTATGTCTGTTTTCTCCATGTTAACAAATCAAAACACGAATAAGCCCGTTATAATGCCGCTTATACATGTCAACACGTGTAAACAATAAACCGTGAACGTTATATATCCGGACGATACCTGATAGTTGACAAAAATAACGGGAACAAAATTCTGAAAAAATAGTAATCAATTGTAGCCAAAGGGGGAAAACTCATGCCGAAAACGTTGCGGCGAATGGCGGATGTCACTCCTTGTCTTTTTTATGATACCGTAAAATTTGACAAGTTTTAAAAGAGACAGATTGGGTTCAATTGATAAAATATTTTTTGAGGCCATATACTCGGATAATACTAAAAGATATTTAGATGTAGCAGTAACGTTTTTAAAAACTGTTAAACGATCGAAAATATGCGCCGCAATCTGTGGTCCCGTTCTCGAGTTCCTATGGTAATTGTCTACGAACTTCTATTACATAATGTAGGGCGATGTTCTTTTTGCCATACGCATATTGGGCATGTGCGAAAAAATACCACTTCCGGATAATTTTTCATAGCAACGGACCGCGTCGTAAAAAGGTCCATATGAGAACAAACACTAACAAGTGAAAGCGACATTCACGAAACGCAACCACGACAACATTTAACCTAATATTCCCGCCGGAAAGACACTCAGTGTGCCAGAGTTAAGAAATGGAGCATTCTAATGGGAGAGGTCACAAACTGTGGAACAGAAAGCGGTCAGATACTGAATTAGTGTACATATTCTTTACTTTTAACACCGCATTGATGATCCTTATAAGATCCAATATAAACTTAAAATTTTGTTTTAAAAAAATCATATTTAGTCGGAATTCTTTTGTTTGTTGTTTTTGTTGTTGTTGAAAGGTTCAAAATGGCGTGTTTCTCGAATCTACCTAGTTTGAAAAAAAAACATCAAAACTTGAAATCCATTGTCTTTGACGTTCCAAAGTAACAGCTGTTCCAGTATAAATTATCGTTGAAATATTCACTCGAGCATTTGAAATTGTTAAGATGTTCACTCCCGTTTAATATGTATATTTTCAAAAACTTCTAATCATCCACACAAAACAATCAAAGGTTGATAAAACATGTACTTGTACTATGCATGCATCTGTTCATCTTATATTGTAAACAAGACTTTTTACTCTCGCCCGGAATTGCGTGCTCATTAAAGTGAAAAATAAAGGTGTTGCGATGTAATTCACAACAAACGAGGTTTTGGTGAGGTAGAGAACAACGCGCCCTGTCACTGTCGTCTGGTCGAATATGGCGTACATGACCCAGGTGGTAACCCACGTGAGAACGTAAGTGGCGGTAATTGTAAACATCATAAATGTGACGTAATTAACTTTACGTATTTCCTTCTTCTCGCGTTCGGACATCATACTGGTGCTGTCCTCCATTTTTCTCAAGCATTGTTGTTTATGTGTCCTTTGTTTTAGATTTAGATTGTTTGGTTGCAGTAATTGTTCGTCGTTTTGGTGGTGACAAGCACTTTTTGGTGAGTTTTGGACATCATCAATTTCACCGCAATGAATGCAGCGAAACTTTTCCTTACAATACTGTTTCTTTGTATTTCTATCAGGATTTTCAACGCTAGGAGGCTCCCTTTTCTCATTTGAGGTTAAATTCGTTGAATCTGTTTGCGCCACTGTTGAATCCTCCGAAACGTTTCTGGTCTTACGATCCACGCGAGATTCAAACGCTGAACCATCATTTCCAGTTTCTTGTTTGTCCACTGTAGAATCTTGGCAGCAACTCCCTGAAGCGTCAAGAGCCGTGCTCTTAGTGCTAAGAGTCTTCAAATGAGTATCGGTTTTTCTACCGGACGACTGAGTAAGTTCGTTTAAAATCAAAGTCTCTACTTTCTTCGGTTTAAACAATCGAACAATCCGACTTGTTGGTCCCAATGCTCGGCTTCTTCTTTGCCTGCCTTCGCGGGCCTGTCTCCGTATCTTTAAAGTTATCTTTGTATAACAAAACACTGCCATTCCGAACAGCAGAACAAATGCTGCCGTCAAGAACGAAGTCATAACGATATCAAATACCTGTGTTCCGTTGACCTTTCCGCAGGAATTGTTGGCGTCGTTCTGTTCGAAAACATAAATTGAAAATAGAGCGATAGCAAAGCTTATCAAGACGGTAACAATGCTCATTATTTTTGACGTTTTGGGCATGTACTTTAAACTTAACGGATGACATGTTCTCATGTACCTGTCGAATGCCAGGGCAGCAAACAATGTTGTTGAAGAAATGTTAGTTCCATACACTAAGAAGTATTTCATTTTACAGAAAACTCCCGAAAAAACTACGTTCCAAACAGACCGGATATTTTGCGCCATGTAAAACGGTGTAATGAACCCGCTGCTGAAGAGATCCAATAACGCCATTGCTAGCACAAGATAGTCTGTGCTCGATTTATCCTTTTGTCGTTTTTGAATGAAAACTACTACTCCGTTACCAAGCAACCCGACGACAAATATCAAGAGCATGTATGTTAGTTGTAAGCTTCGAGCCCATTCTGGAATGTCAAACTGACTGGAATCTTGCCCCGGATTAAAATCGCTATTATTGGGAAAGGCCTCTAGCTTATTATCCATTGTGTTGTTTTTCTGTATGGCTGCAAGGAAAGATGTGAGCGAAATGAAAGAAATAACCGCTTATATATCATAGACATGACAATATCATAGGCATGTCACAATAAATTCCCACAGACGCTTGGGGTTTGGAGCTCAAAATGCCTTTAAAATCCAAATAAAATGCATATTTGTCAATCCCAGCACATGTACTGATCATATATATCAAAAAATCTTAATATATGCCGTTTTGAAAAAAAAATCATATTTCAACATCTATAATAATACACAAGATAAAAATGTTCGCCGGAAAAAATCCGCACCCCTACCGTCATAATCACCATGTATCTTAATCCATTTCCAATATTTTCACATAATCCTTTGGTCCATCGACACAGAAGATATAATTCTTCACGATGATGGTCAATTTTAAACTTCAACGGTAATATAAACAACGCAACAGCCGAAATAAACATCAATATTCTCGCCGTTTTTTTTCAACGACAAAAACTTTCGATAAATTCAATGGACCAGACGGCTATGAACGAAGCTATCCGATTATGTGGTTCCCAAACTTAAAAGCGCTGCGCATTTTGCACACGGCAAAGCTGGGGCCACATAATCGGATAGCTTCGTTCATAGCCGTCTGGTCCATTGAATTTATCGAAAGTTTTGTCGTTGAAAAAAAAACGGCGAGAATATTGATGTTTATTTCGGCTGTTGCGTTGTTTATATTACCGTTGAAGTTTAAAATTGACCATCATCGTGAAGAATTATATCTTCTGTGTCGATGGACCAAAGGATTATGTGAAAATATTGGAAATGGATTAAAATACATGGTGATTATGACGGTAGGGGTGCGGATTTTTTCCGGCGAACATTTTTATCTTGTGTATTATTATAGAGATGTTGAAATATGATTTTTTTTTCAAAACGGCTGATATTAAGTTTTTTAAATATATATATGATCAGTACATGTGCTGGGATTGACATATATACATTTTATTTGAATTTAAAGGCGTTTTGAGCTCCAAACCCCAAGTGTCTGTGTAAATTCCAATATTCACCAAAACCTATTAATGGAAGTATAGATATTGAAGATTTATCACTGTTATTTTGATGTCTAAAACAGTGAGAAATCAAAGGGCTGCAAGCTCTGTGGTATTTTCTGATCTTTGCAACTTAAATCGCACTGTGTATCTGTATGTATTTTCCTGTATAAGTTTATTTTTATGTACTATCATTCATCTTGCAGAGCACCAGAGTTACAGAATTACATACGGGATTTTGCATAACAAGACTTTGTTAACAGTGGTCTGATGATTTATTGTATTTGGTTATCATGGTCATTTAAAGGAACTCCACTGAGGTTCTTTATATGAAGGGTCTCGAAATATGTTTTTCCAGATTTTTTACATTACTTGATGTATGGTACATCAATATTCTGTGTGCAATATTTCAGATCATGGGCACTTGATATTGATTTTCAATTGAATTATAGTATATTTCTTTATCTTCGTTCCATTTTCACGGTGCATATCCATATCGGTACCCTCTTTGCGAAATCTGCTCAAACGGTACCCCCTTTAAACATGCACAGGTCATTCTCTGCTAAAACAAACCAGCGATGGATAACAATCCAGTAAAATTTCATTGTAATAAGGAAAGGAGGTATGACACGTAGAAAAGATGTATACCACGGAACACTAGAATGTTTTATTTATGTGCTGATTTGTCATGTGCCCGTGTTTCATGTACTGCAACTTCACAATAAGCTACAAAAAATCGACATGTCTTGCCTCGCCCATCACCTCGACATATTTTTCGGGCTGAAATGAACCTATGGCTTGATTATATATGCATCATACATATTTAATATGTTCATATACATATCATCTTCGGACAAATGGCAGTATATTGTCAAAAATAAATGAAAAATTCATAAAAACACCCTACTTTCGGTTTTGCAGCGGCACGGGCTACCTCTCTTCATTTGAATTTTTATATCACAGGTACCCTCTCATTTTTTAACACATAGGTACCCTCAAAGCACGACATATGCTTTTATGTGCGTTAATCGCTAAGTATGTACTATTTACATAAAAGTAAGAAATATTACATACATACTTAACCATTAACGCAAATGCACCATTAGGCCAAAGTTGATAAACAATACTTTGCATGCTTTTTCATGGACCTTTATCAAAGTTCTTGGAAATTATTTGTAGTACGTTTAACGACATTTTCTTTATACGCATTGCATATTTTGGGCACACCTGAACCTATGACAGAAGGAATATCTCAATGAAGACTGCATAAAAATCCAAACAAAAAATGGGTAAATATAGAGGAAAGCCTGGAGGGTAGAATCACATTTCAATTTTCTTTAAAAAAAAGGCTTCGAATTTTATATAAATGTTTAAAATGTTGAAAACTTGCACAATACTGCAAATATTGAGCACCGGAAATTCACATATATGTTTTTTACCGATGCTCAATTTTGAGATTCATATGGGGCTCATTTAAATAGAACCTTTGAAAATTGGTTACTTTGTATTGCCGTGTAACCGGAAATGTGTGCCATCTGATCTTTATTCGTTCTGACCGACTTTAAAAGTACTATATTCACACAAAATAGCCAATTTAATGTGAATATCGTACATTACAATTGTTAATTAATTAATCTACCCACAGGCGTGAAAACATCTGTAGAGAAGGCATGTCACGTGTTGTATTTTTCTTGGAATTTTGCGTCAATACCCAAAACCAGTGTCATATTAAAGACATGATATCACGCTCTTCACGGGGTATTTGTTGGGATTGTGTATTTATTACATTCAATGTAAATGAGTAAAATATATTGGTCAGTTGACGGAATTTGTTAGCGGTATGCAAACTATTAAAATTGAATTTACATGTATCATAATGAACGAATATACAATTTCTTTCAATGAATAGGCACACTAATAATAACGATGCTTTTTGATGGCGAATCTCATTTGGATTTATTTTGATTGAATATTTGGTCAAAATAACTAAATCAGTAGAAAAAAATCTTCTCAAACGGTAAAATGCTTTTTGCCAACCTTTGAAGTATAGACTGACTTCTTCATAAACACTAATATGCGTGAACATGTATGATGAAAAATGACAAAAATAGCAAGGAAAAATCTTCTGATCCATTTAAAGTGTCAAAATATTCAATGAAAGTAAACCCCAATGAGATTCGACATCAAGAAGCATGTTTATCATAATAAGAAACATCAAAGTTAAAGGTAGAATCAAGGTATCCTTAAAGGAACTCCATTGCCAATGTCCAAAAACCTAAAAGCATAAAATTTGAATTTTACATAGATCAGCTTAGGTACTTTAAACAGAAAGATATGTGAAAGATAATTAAAACATATACTCAGAAAATAATTGAAGCTAGTACTTTCGTGTTATTCTTTGCCCGATTTGAGTAAAAAGCGCTGCAACTCTTTTCAATTTTGGGTCATTTTAGCTCAAGTATTCGCAGAATATTCAAGCTAATGCAGTCACCCATTTGTCAGCGTCGGAGTCCCTGTGGTTAAGTTTTTACGTGTAAGCTGGTATCTCCATAACTACTGAAGGGAATGGATTGAAACTTCACACACTTGTTTTCTGTGATTATCTTACATGATCGGCACAGGTCCTTTAACTATGATTTGCTTTTTATGCATATCTATGCCCCTTTTTATACGCACGTTAGAAAAAACAGGTCGTATTACAGTTTCCCCCTGGCGGGCGGGCGGCGTCCAATTTTTTGTCCGGAGCATATCTCCTACACGCATGGAGGAATTTTAATTTAATTTAAAACTTCTACATGCATAGAGGTATTTCAATATAATTTGGCACAAATGTTTCTCCATTGTAAGCCGGAGTGTCGCATGCAAAATTCAGGTCCCTGCGGCTAAGGTCAAGATCACACATAGGCGTCAAAGTTCAGATAAAAATATGAAAATGTCTACTTGGACTATAGTTATCATTTATTGAGGGATTGAAACATATATGGTCATTATCATGACTACGGGTGTGAACCATATAATTTAGGTTGATATATGCAACGTCAAGGTCAGTAAAGTTGATAACATGGATATTTTGTCCAGAGCATATCCCCTACACGCATGGAGAGATTCTAATGAAACTTCATAGAAATGTTCACAACTATGAGAAGCAGTGTCATGCGCATGAACAAGGTTTGAAGATTAAAGGTCAAGGTCACACTTAGAGGACATTGAAAAACACTTGTCCGGATATGAAAATGTATATTTGGACCATTTAGTCATCTTTTATGAAGGGATTGAAACACAAATGGTCATAATCATGACTACAGGTGTGAAACATGTAATTTAGGTTAATATATGCAAGGTCAATGTCACTAAATATGAAAAAATATAGAGATTTTGTCCAGATGCTTGGTGGGATTCTAATGAAATTTCATAAAAATGTTCACCACTATGAGAAGCAGTGTCACGTGCATCTACTAGGTCTCTAGGTTAATGGTCAAGGTCACACTTAGAGGTTATAGAAAAATGCTTCATCGGAGCAAAACTTCTACATTCATCGGGAATTTTTAATGTTACTTGTAACAAATGTCCAACATTTTGAGATTAACACATAATCCAAGTCCCTGCTACCAAAGTCAATGTCACATAGATAGATCAAAGTTAAGATAACACAGAAGATGTGTACAGTGACCATTTAGTCATCATTTATTGATGGATTGTAACACAAATGATAACTATCATGACTTCAAGTGTGTCTAGGACTCTAGGTCACTAGAGATGATAAAATATCCAGATATTGTCCGGATATTGCCCATAGAATATCTCCTATATGCATATCTATAATACCCACATCTCTGTCAAAAACTTTTGTGACAGGCGTATTTTACGACAGTTTTGAACAGTGTAATTAAAACTATTTTCTATTGGAACTTTTACTCTAAGCTATCGTTTGCAAAAACCTAAATGTCCTCGTTTTACCTGTATGCCCTCTACCTGTAAGCCTGTATGTACCCCGCCTCCACCCCATCGGGTTGATAAGTTAAGAAAAAGATCCAACGTGCAAGACTAGTATATGCGGCTGTTTTTTTTTCTGCCCCTTCCATAACATTGTGAAGAAAGCCGTTTTAAAAGGCAATAATAATACGCATTTTTACTGGTTTTTTTCCGTTTTTATGTTTCCTTTTCATATGATGCTAAATAAGTTCACATACACTAACGCCGTATCAAATGATAAAATTTATAAATAAGAAAAATCCACGCCGCGCCAGTTCGCAAGCAGCGAAATGACGTCATTCTTAGCATGGTTGGGCTTAGAAGAATAATTGATTTCATCGAGCACTGATGTTAACTCAATACAATCCAGTCCGACACGGAAGTTAAAATTGTTGAAAAATCGATTAAAAAATCTTAAATAATAAGGTGCATTAATTTTCCTTATCATTTCTTGATTTTTGTATACCTTAGCGACTGAAGGGTGTGAAATAGAACGACCTAATACGAAACTTGGCAGCGGAAATAAACTCCGCTTTAGAAGCTATCTTCAATATCGGTCTGAGTGGTGTTTATCGGCTATACATTGTATAACACCATGTTTGTTTTAGTGCTAAATTTCTCTCTTCCCTTCGGTACGTGCGAGTCGTTGAGAAGGCACGTGACATCGGAAAATGATTGAAGATCCAATGCAACGTGTGAGACGGCAAGTTGGCATGTTTTCTACGGCTCAAGGTTGGCAGAACTTTGTCTTCATGACGTCAGCTTCCGGTGTCCTGACTAAAGCCGATTGGATTGGCTCTACAAGTAGGCAGGGACGACGATGAAAGTATTCAAAGGTGCATCAACCCCTAGCACAGAGAGTGACGTCTTTTAAGGCAGGCCCTTTGCTGGCATAACAACCCTTTTTAAGGGCTACCTCCTTTTCATATTGTCTCAAGTTATTGTACATTTAGGCTCTCTTTGACCGCTGTACAGCGACCCACTTTTGCCTCAAATTTCATAGTAATGGCTAATATTCCGTGAAAATTGCATGGAGGTAAATTATGTCACTTTATTCTTCAAAATTAAACCTTGAAGGGCGTGACTGGTGACATATCCGACAGCGAAAACCATTAACGGTCAGAGCGAAAATACGACATGGCACAAAAAAACACACCATAATAATGAGATAGCCATGTGAAACCTTTAACACGGTAACAGAGTTGAGTTGTTAATATTAATTAATTTTCCAGAAGTGGTGTTTCTATGGTTGATTTTAGTAAGAGCTTGTTAATTTATGTATAGCATATTCCATGGCCTTTAAATGAAAATCTACCTCAAATGACAATGAAGTAAAGCGCCCACTCGACGGGTCATATATTGTTTCATAGCCAATAATAAGGATTGTCATGAAGAGTTCCGAGTTCCGGGTCGACGTTGCATTTTTATACAATTGAAATGAGCCGCGTCATGACAAAACCAACATAATGGGTTTGCGACCAGCATGGATCCAGACCAGCCGGTGCATCCGCGCAGTCTGATCAAGATCCATGCTGTTCGCTATCAGTTTCTCTACTTGTTATAGGGTTTGTAAGCCCTGATCAGACTGCGCGGATGCGCATGCTGGTCTGGATTCATGCTGGTCGCAAACCCATTATGTTGGTTTTGTCGTGACACGGCTCAAATTATTATTAGCATAGTTATTCAACAGTCTTATATAAATTATAGTACTATTATGTTATGCACGAATACGTATAATTAATTTTGCCTTACACCGGCACGCATATAAGTCCTTATAATTATCGAAATTCATAGCTATGGAACGCCATATTTGACTATTTTGTAAGAACTTGTATTTTACATGTATATTTTTTGGATGCAAAAAAATACCACTTCGGGATACCTTGTGAAGTAACTGACGATAAATTATCATTTTTTTTTTATTAGATATCAAAACGATAATACAGAAATCATGTTTGGTGTCCGAAGGTATTGATTGGGCGATTACTATTTGATCGGATATTCATCGTTTTTTAACACAAAAGAATATTGACGAATTTCTGTAAATAGACCTTCAGAAATGAGCATCATACAGTTAGTTATTAAGGGTTGGTGATCACGTGACTTTTGTTTTACAGTAACATTGCATCACTTTTAGTGGCATCGTCCATGATTAAAAGGTCTTTGCTATATTTATTTATATAGATCATGAATTCCATCGATACATAATTTTCGAATGTTGCTGTTTTAGCTTTCAAGTTATGCTTAAACAAAATGCTTCGTAAAAATGTGCTTGAGCATAAGGTCACAAATATATTTTGCAATGAAAAACAAAACTCACATAGAACAGCTATGTACTGTTGCGTCAGCAATTATTTGCCTAAGAATATATTTATATAACGAAAAATTAGCAGATAGATTTTAAGTCATTGGCACTGCTTACATGTGATGAGACATTGTTACCGTAGGAATATATCACTTGATCACCCATACTGATTATAGTAACAAAACGAATGATAATGTCATAAATTAAAGTTGTGTCAATGGCGTTCCATAGATAGAGCTTACATATACAGCGAAACTAGAACTCTACATGCAGGTGTTAAAGCCAGCCATAAGATCAGTAAGTTTAGATGCTAAAAACAATTTCAAAAGCTGCAATGGATTACACAGCATTCCTTAGCAAAACAGCCAGAGCAAGGAAACCCTCTGCTCTGAGAGAACTATGTAAGTTTTTAAACTCTTTTTCTCATGTCCATTTTAAGTTTAAAAATGTTATTCATAGATTCTTTATAAAAATAAGCAGTGCAATGTGTGCATGTGAATGTTTTTGACTCGTTATGTACAATTTTTTGAAATCTATTGTTTTTGTAGTCCCGTAACTTGCTGCTTGAACCGGGAGTGATAAGCCTTTAGCCGAGCAGACCAGGCTAAAAATCAGGTTATAAAGCTGTATATTTGAGATTGCTCGGCTCCCGTGGTTTCCGACCTACTATTGAACTACTGTTTATTTTAGATTTTACCAAAATGGGATGATTGAAAAGGTACTTCATATGTGTTAGGTCAGAGATGTAGCTAACAGTTGAATCTTTTATCTGTGTTTTTCACTTAGAAAAATTTGTTTAAATGGGAACTGTAAATGTTTTTACCTGCAGCCATAGACAAATGCATAAGCTTTCAGAAAATGTATTATTTTACTGATTTTTTTATGTCTGGTTAAGTTTAGCAAGCACGCTTGATATCTTAACTGGCTAGGAAGTTCCCTATCTCTGTTCTCTTTGTCTCTGGTTAGGTTCAGAAATAATCCCTATGAACGGAAGTTATATTTTGCGCATGCGCCGAAAAACTATTTGGAGATTTCGGTCATTATCCACTTAAATCATTAAAAGATTCAATGATACTGAGTAGTACAACAATGTAAACCTATACGCACAACAATATAGATTGGTGACATTATAGAGTTTTATTGTCAAAAGAGAAATACAAAGTTACTAAAAAAAGAAGAAAATGGAGGCAGAAAATCGTGAAATTGCCTTGACTAATACCGATAATTTAGGTGATACATTGTAATTGGTTTTCTGTTGTTTTTTTTTTTCTCTAATTCTCTCCTCCCTCTTCTTGTTCATTTCTATCTTTAATTAGACACACGACATGTGTGATGTTGAGTTATCGTTGATGAAAAATCGATATAAGTCTTCTTCTTCATATTCATCATCTTCTCCTTCTCAATATTCTTCTTATTCTTCTTTAATGAGACACATAACATGTGTGATATTTCGTTATAGTTAATGGAATCGGTATAGACGAGACGTATGTTTTAATGGTTGGCTGTCTTCTTCTTCTACAACTTCTTATTCTTATTCTTCTGTAATAAGATATGTACGATATTTTGTTATACTAGTAGTTGATGGAATCAGTATAAACAAGACGTATGTTTTAATAGTTTGTGGTCTTTTCTTCTTCTTCTACTTCTTCTACTACTTCGTCTTCTTCATCATCAGTATCTTTACCTTCTTCTTCATCTTCTTTAATAAGACACATAACATGTGTGATATTTTGTTATAGTTGATGGAATCGGTGTAGACGAGACGTATGTTTTAATGGCTGGCGGTCTTCCAAACCCAGAAGTCTTTCCTATTACGGACATGGCGATTACATTCGGGTATGAATTCTCTTTATACAAAACGCACGTTAATCACATGAATTTATTTTTTATAATCTTTAAAAGAAACGACGCCATAAAAACTATAAGATATTTAATTAACATATTTGTTAAGCGTAAGCCACAATTCAGTAATGACAAAAAAATCTCATTTTTCGCTACTCTACAATTACAAACAATACATCAAACACACTTTTGCTAATTCTTTAATTAGTAATGACTCAAAGAAACTTTTTTTCTTTTGGCGTTTTTATCATTATTTTATTGACACCAACACACTTTTTTTTGCAGTGACGGGACAGTTTCAAAAATCAGCCAAAATAACTTAATGGAAGGACTTCAGTATGGTAGAACGACTGGGTACGTATGAAATCGGTATTGTCCGTTATTAGAAGAGTCTTTTTTTATGTATATTTTATTTAATTGTTACTCTACTGTTGACGTCCTTTCGCGTTTTCGCTTTTTAACGTCTGATTTTATCGTACATTTGTGTTTTTTTTTTTTTTTTTTGTTGTTTTTTTTTTTTTTTTTGATAAAAAAGCAAAACTACAATATGGCATAAATCAATCACCATATCCTTTCCTTTTATTAAGGAAAAAGGTTTTCGCCACAATGTTCCGAATTTTTTACTTAACAACAAGAACAAGAACAACAGCAGATATTTAAAAAGAAATCGAGACAGAACTCACTATTTTCAAACATTCAAATATGGCGTTCCATACTTAGAGTTTAAATAGTTATAAGGACTAATATGCGTGCCAGTGTAAGGCAAAAACTAATAATACGTATTTGTGCATACATTGATTGATATGAGGCTGTGATATTAATATGTTAATAATAATTTCATTAGCATAATAATGCAACATTGGTCCAGAATTCTGAACTCTTCATGACAATCCTCATTAAGGGGAAAATGAGTTATTAGATGATGAAAGTGGCCAGTGGTCAAACTTTGATCTGTCGAGTGGACGCTTTACCTCATTTACTTTTTAACTAGATTTTCATTTGAAGGCCACAGACTATGCTAAATTATGTTAACAAGGTGTTACCAAAATCAAGTATAGAAACACCACTTCGGGAAAATTAATACAATCGCAACTCTTCGGATAAGTTATTATTGATAATAGCCGAGAAAGTTCCGATTGCAAGTAATATAAACAACAGACTCTCTTCAAAGTCGTTCGACCTTTAAGTACTAAATGTAGTAAGCTAAAATTGTTCTAGATCATATACTTATAAATGCACGGACATATTCATGAAATTAGTGAGTGTGACCAAGTAAATATGATATTGTATGGCAGTTTCATACTGAAAAAATTAGTCGTAAGGGGAATGATGCGGGCGGACGATGTTCCCATTCAACCTTTGATAATCGATCTTGTCTCAATTACCCCTTTTTATATCCAGCCTTTACCGAGCGACCAATGTGTCCTTTTACGAAATTGCATGGGCAAAGAAGGGAAACTTGTGGATAGAATTTCAAAAACTTTGCGTTGATAAGTCTAAATGGAAAAGAATTTTGTTAAAATATTCTGCTTTTTATGTCACAACATAAATTCAGTCCAATACCTAATATCAAGTTATATGCAATGCAATATCCAGCCAAATTTGTCTATTTATAGGCATCCGGAAATCCTGAAGTTCATTAAAGATATAACAAAGCGTCTACATGATCCACCGCGCATGGGTGATTCAAGTCATCCAGGCGCTACAGAGGTTTTGTTGACATCTGGTTCCAATGACGGAATTTATAAAGTTTGTCTTTTTATGCTTTTATGAATAAAATATTATTATAAGAAGATTATTACAATTATTATCATTCTATCATGTAGTCATAAAAATTTTGTAATTTGTTACGTCGTGAAAAGTTGTTGCCTTGCTACTTACTATTAAAGGTGTAGGCCCGCAAGTCCAGAACAGTATGTTCAAGACTTTATTATCCACATCCATGATTTTTCAATCAGCACCAGTATTGTCCTCAAATTGCTAATTCAGTGCAATGGGTTTTCTTTTTCGCACCTAATTATAGCCAAGAATTAACCCTAACTTACATTGCCGATGGAAATACCATCTGAATGATTCCGTCTGCCAGGCGGATGTTTTCGCTAGGAATTTTCTGAAAGGCGGATATCTTCACTAATAATTTCCTGCAAGGCGGATATTTTCACTAGGAATTTTCTGCAAGGCGGTTATTTTCACTAGGGATTTTCTGCAAGGTGGATATTTTCACTAGGGATTTTCTGCAAGGCTGATATTTTCACTAGGGATTTTCTGCAAGTCAGATATTTTTACTAGGAATTTTCTGCAAGGCGGATATTTTCACTAGGAATTTTCTGCAAGGCGGATATTTTCACTAGGAATTTTCTGAAAGGCGGATATTTTCACTAGGAAGGCGGATATTTTCACTAGGAATTTTCTGCAAAGCGGATATTTTCACTAGGAATTTTCTGCAAGGCGGATATTTTCACTAAAAAGTTTCTGCAAGGCGGATATTTTCACAAACGTTAGGAATTTTCTTCAAGGCGGTTATTTTCACTAGGAATTTTCTGCAAGGCGGATATTTTCACTAGGGATTTTCTGCAAGGCTGATATTTTCACTAAGAATTTTCTGCAAGGCGGATATTTTCACTAGGAATTTTCTGCAATGCGGATATTTTCACTAGGGATTTTCTGCAAGGCGGATATTTTCACTAGGGATTTTCTGCAAGGCGGATATTTTCACTAGGAATTTTCTGCAAGGCGGATATTTTCACTAGGGATTTTCTGCAAGGCGGATATTTTCACTAGGAATTTTCTGCAAGGCGGTTATTTTCACTAGGGATTCTCTGCAAGGCGGATATTTTCATTAGGGGTTTTCTGCAAGGCGGATATTTTCACTAGGGATTTTCTGCAAGGCGGATATTTTCACTAGGGATTTTACTAGCACGTATATTCATCACTTCTCACTTGCACAGAGTCCAAATACATGTACTAGTATTATAATGTAATAAACTTGCCAACAACCAGTGTTTCAGTGTTTGGGAATAAAAATACTACACTCTCATTCGTTTCTTTATTCCTTCAAACAAGTGGTAAAGCTTCTTGTACATCCAGACGACACAGAAAGGGGGCATACATAGTCAAAACATAAAGGCACGTCATGTCTCAGAAAATAATACACTTTTACTAAATAAAGGGGGTTTGTTTTGTTCTATACGTTCTGTTTTGATATAAATTTAGATGGTGTTTAATGATAACCATGGGGAAAAAGTAGCGCAAAATGTGAATAAGTAGCAAAATGTTAACAATGGAGTGCATTGACCTCATCCAAAATACTACGTCACAATAACTTTACTAACTGTATGACCAATAAGTAACTTATTAGACGATATAACATGCACAATAAATACAACTTTGCTTCTTTAAAAAAGAAGCATGCGAGAGGTCATTTTGCTGCTGTAGAAAATATTTGGAAATTAAGACACAATGAATGGTTATTAATTACAATTATTTAACAAAATATAATGTATTATATAAATTGAATATATAGTATCATAATAAAAGTTTGTTTTACACTTCATTTTTTAATGTTTTGAAAATTTATATGCCGGAGAAATAGACTTTTTCTTGGCGCATTAGAGATACTTTTTCTACAAAGGGAACTAAATTTAAAATAAATGATATGTACGATTTATATTAAAAGTAGTATCAAAATAAAAATTTCTTGTAAAATTCAATAAGCAAATTTTCAGCTAATGTTTTGATAAGTATATGGAAACATTTCCTCTACATTTTCCAAAACGGGCAAAAAATTTACATAACAAAAGGTTTATAGCATTTGATTGGAATAAACAGAATATAAAGCTGCTTGCCTCCAGCCACAATATTTTAAGAAAATCAAACTTGTGTCAAATTTGTGCCATTTGCGCAAAAAATCCCCTTTGCGTTACTTTTTAATACCAGTTCAAAAGTTTATTGAGCAGCAAAATTTCGGTACACGGTTCACTCGGTCATATAATAGTGCATGGTGTTATTGTAGCTATAATGTTCACTGTTACTATTTATTAGTCGCCGGTAGAAACCGGCGACTATATTTGTAACAGTTTAATATTCTATCTATGGTAGGAGAAGGCCTTAAAATCTGAAAATAAAAGCAAATCAATTACTGAACAATTAAGGACCACAATTATTTTTCAGAATCTTAAAAATTCAAAAATAAATTAACGTTGCTAAATGAAATGAAATATACAAATATTTACATCTTAAAAAGCAACATTACAATTTTCATAAAATGAATTAATAACGTATCCCTATGGACCAGTCATTGAATTTAGGGAAACTTTTATTTTTTTTTCTAAGTGTCAAGCGTTGCTATTTTATGATTGATAAATCATGAATGATATTAAGAATGACACATTTAAATTATCTGGTTGTTTTATATCTTATGACACCTATTATATTTCATTATTTTATCTAATTATAAACAGATTCTCCCTGTTCTATTGTAAAAATCACGTGACTACACGTTGTATATAGAATCTATTAATAGTAACAGATTAATTTGCTGATAAGACATACTAGTTGGAAAACGGTATGGGGGCTAATTAGATGCAAATGTATAAATAATTACAAAGTTATCTTTTTCAGTTTCATATTTTATATCATTAGAAAGGATTAGTACATTAAAGAATTAAATACATTTTCAAAACCTTTTCATTTTACCTTGGTAAAGGGTTAAATTTTGCCCTTTCTATTTAGTTTAGGTTGAACATCACAAAATAGAATTTATGCTAAAGAGGCACATGTATTGAAATAAATAGTGGTAATAGTCGTCTTCGTTATATTCCGTCGATTTCCGTCGCGCAGGTTACCAAAACGGTACGACACATAATAATGAAAACTAATAAAATATCTTTTTGTTAATATTTTATCGAACTGAAAGGCAATTCAACGTAAACTATATCGTATGTAACGACAGGAATATTGATTTCAACTAAATAGCTTATTTTTTTCGATAGCGCAAAAAATAGTTTTATGAAAACTGCAAAAGGGATTTTCAAAGATTCGAATTTGGCCTACTAGGTCACAACTTCGTCCTATACTTACCACATATTAATTAATTTAATATCGAGATCTATACTATCAATAAAATCTTTAGCATAAATCATAATAAGTTACGTAAACTAACTTACCAAATACTTGCTTAATAATCATAGCAGTTCCTTAACAATATTGCTAAGCAAGTTTGCTTCATATAATATTATGATGTTTTATTGTGAATAAACAGTTACTCAACATAAATTGTTCCTCTTTTCTTTATACCTGAACCAATAATTAAACTGATTTTTTATATTTATGATAATACAGTCATTTTCTATCCGGCGACTTGATGCTTTAGCATCAAAATCTCTACTTGTCGTCACTGTTACTATTTATCGGAACAAGAAATAGTAAAACGCTATTCAGAAAACAATACTGTAACCGATAGACACTTTAAAAGATTGGAACGGAATGATACATCCACGTAGCGCTAAGTAACGTAAATGACATTTTCCGATTTTTCTTTACAGGGGCCTACCGATTCGTTCACTTCGATGTTAATTTTTCGTTTAAATTAAGTCGTATTTTAAAATGGAGATGCGCGAAACAAATTTTGTAGACTGCTCCTAATGATTTTAAGCTGTAAATAAGATTCATTTACTACAATCAGATACGCAAAAATGGATGCCGCCAGCAGTCTGAACACTATCAGACCTCTCCAATAAACGTTTTCAGGGGAAAATATCATTTTAGTGGCTTGTTGGGCCTTGAATACACTTGAAACTGTGCTATTATGTCTCCATCATTGACCGAACTTATATTTTTCATTTAATCTGAAAGTCAATATAGAAATACGTGTTTAAATCTGTCATTCTGTTCAAAATAGACTTAGACTCTATCAAACCCAGTCTGCAATTCTCTTGTAATTTTGTTGTGATAAATGTTTCTGAGGTATTACTTTGTTTCCAGATTTTTTGTTCTTTTCAAAAGAAAAACACTCATTTTGTTTCTTTTCTTCAGTCTGTAGAAATTCTGTTGGGCGAAGGGGATGTAGTGTTAACAGAAGAGTACGTTTATCCAAATCTTGTGGCGGTGGTGAGTTTGACAATATAAAGCACACATAGTCTCACTTTTATCCTTTTCTTTTTCCTTTGCCAAGCTTAATATCACAAAATAAACTTGTCCATATTTCAATCTGAACATATTTCAATCTGAACAAAACCTTACCAAATATTTCCAAAATAACTAGATCTACTTACTTAATAACGAACAGTGAAAACCATGATAAAACAGCAATGATGTGCAAGCTGTTCTTGGTAGATGGGTAGATTCAGTCACAGTCAACAGGCCACAGGACTGGTTTAAATTTGGGTAATCTAAAGTGAAACCTTACATGTACTTTATTTGTGGCCTGTCCTTTGTTTTTTTCTAGTTTTATGCACTGGCAAGTAGTCAGTCAGATCGCTGAATTGGTAAACTGACACCATTCTATACAGGTTATAAATGCTTGCCATCGACGCCACGTGCTCAAATACAATGATACGGATTTTTTTACGACAATCATAAAAAATACATGTCATGTTTCAGACGCAGCCGATAGGTTGTGACGTCAAAGCCATTCGAATGGATAAAGACGGTATTATACCGGAATGTCTTGCTGCCGAGCTGTCTAAATGGCCGAAACCGGTAGACGGAAAACCTTCATTAGGGAGACTAAAGGTATCCCTACCTCTTTTGTTTTCATTTGTAAATCAGTGCATTCGTTTTGTCAAGTGAACTAAACTTAATGAATTTGTACAAATAATATCAAATTTACGTCTGTAAATTTTGAAAGCCAACTTAAGTTTTTTAGCAGCCCGCCCTTACATGATATATGAAAAGAACTTTATTTGTGAAGGCGCACGTGATATGTTCTTCCAACAGTAACAATGATAAGCCTTTACGGGAACAAAGCCTTTTCGGTCTTTGCTACATATGAACTTTAGATGGTATTTAAGATATATAAATATGAGACGTAAAGGAGAGGTGGCCATTTAGATAAGGTATCTCAGTCGGGAAATTGCAAGTTCGAGCCATACTGGCAGTCACGACCACGTTTCCTCATATGACAACAGTACTGGTTACTTCTCGGAAGTGGTTCAAGTTAGCTGCAAGCTTTATATACAATCGAGCTTATATAAATAATGTTTAAACTTATATACCCGGTAATATGTTAGACTTTACATAGATATTTCTGATAATAGTTTAAAACCGAAAGGTTTATAGAAATAATTATGAAAGTTCGGGCTACAGGCTTGAATTCGGCAGGAAAATAAGTGCCTTCTTCATGCGAGAAACGAGTCCAGACAGGCAGTTACTTCATTAGGAGGTCTGAGCTTTTCCTCCATCTGTTAATATTCGAATATTGACATATGTCGTTGATAATTTTGGTATGACTAAGAATACAACAACAACAACGTAACAAATGTAAAATAAATTGCTGTGGTTCTGTCAAGGATCCCGCGTGACAAAAACGTTCAGATGTGAACCTGACATCTTCCAGTGTCCAGTCGGGTAAGAAGTCAAGAAAAAATGTGAGAAAGAAATATGTGTAAAGCGTTAGTAACGTTAATATCTGCAGATGTTTATTTATTTATTTTTTGTTTGGTTTTATAGCGCACTAACATAGTTTAGGTCATAAGGCGCCGCAACAAGAGCTTAATTACCTCGGTTGTTGCGTTAAGGCAACGCAAGGGGCGATAACCATTTCACCTGCTGGAGCCAAGCGATGCATTGACTCCAGTAATTCAAACCCACATTTAGTCGCCTTTTATTTTAAACGGTGACTGCAATTCTGATATCTCAACCCGTTAAGGCAAACCCTCCGCCACAAAGGGCCGACTGTTGATTTAATGCGCAACTGCTTTGTTCTTTGTGTTAGCAAAATTAATATTACTTTATGATTTATACATTTACAGGCGTTATACTGTGTTCCTAACGGAGATAATCCAACCGGTGTACGGTATACGAACGAACGGAAACGGGAAATATACAGGCTGGCACAAGAATATAATTTCATTATAATAGAGGACGATGCATACTTTTATTTGGAAGAAAAAGTGAGTTTGTTAACTAATATAAAACATATCTTGAAAAATAATTATTAAACATATCATCATCATCATCATCATAATAATAATAATAATAATAATAATGACCACAAATATTAACAATCTGGTGACAGTCGTTATTTTTGCATAATTTTATACTTTACTCTGTTAGTGAATATCATTCATCTAATCTGTATCAGTAAGAAAAGAAAGGTATAAAAAGTCCCAAAATAGGTAGTACATATGTACAATGTATAAATGAAGTTCTCTAATGTATTAGTGTACAGATGTACATTTATTTCACTATAATAATCCGAGTAAATTGCGTGACGTATTACATGTATAACGCCATGAAAACTAAATTATTTTGAACAGAAATACTTTATTTAATCTATAAACCATTTTTGTTAAAGCGATAATGATGAAATTTCACTAAGTCATCTTCCTTATTTACTTATTAACTTCTATGCCATGTTTGTAATAATATTTTTGTATTGTTTGAAGTCACTCTTATGCCTTTAAGGGCCATGAGTTTTTGTTTATAAATATAAAAATGAAAAAGAATATTGTTATTAACATGTTCCTAATTGTATTTCAGCCATTCAACGAAAGTTTCCTTTCAATGGACGTTGATGGCAGAGTAATCCGTCTGGAAACATTCTCTAAGACTATCGCCCCTGGTCTCCGGCTAGGTTTTGCCCTCGCCCCCAAACCATTTTTCAATCAACTGAGATATGTATCGCAGGCATCCACTCAAGGCAGTTCGAATGTATCTCAGGTAAGAATCTCATCAAGTATATTATCTTGCCTTTGCTTTGGAGATTATTTTTAAATGGGGCATTTGATTGGTTGTTTTATGCTGGTGAGCCATGTGTGACACCGACCCCACCTCATTAGCAGTGGGATAGGATAGCGTAAGAAATAAATCGGCATGTCACTTCATTGCCAGATCTGTTCAGTGATTTTATTTTAGGCCAATATGACGGGTGTATATCAAGCTGGGATACAGGGATGTAAGCAGCCGGCTGCCCCCATAAGAAAAGTCCAATTGTGTTTGTTTGTGGTGAGGGGGAGGATGGTCAGGGTTATAACTTACCGGTGTGTCAAACATAATGGATAAGAAAAATTATATATAGCGTCAAAATGACGTATTATGACTATAATTTTAAGTGACATTATACCAACCGAAGTGTGAATTCGTGAGCAAGTAAAAAAGTAAGTATATGAAACTTGACATGTTGAATAATTGTGTTCAGTTTTAATATTTTACTATGAAAAAATAATCAATAAGCCAAAAGGCCAGCGAAAATTTCTTTAACTGTGGTTCAAATGTATTGATCAGTAAACGCTAAATTCTTAATTGAGTGGGGGTAGTCTTTTAACAATTTAGTTAAGTTTTATATTGTATCATATACATTTTTCATTATCAAGTCACCATTATAATAGCCAATCCTTTAAAATATACTAGTATTACTGATTCAAGTCAACTTGACACAGCGAAAAATCGAGCATAATGTCACTTTAAGTGATTGAATGTGGAGCCAGAAAGGAAGGGGTGTTAGGCCATGATACCCCTTCCTCAGTGGGGGTTGGCTAGGCTAAGTATATAAATACATGTATGTGAAATCCTGGTAAGAATTGGGTATCAACCTATTTTTTTAAGTGAAAATCACGCAGAAATTACTGAAAACCAATAAAAAATGTTTTCAAGATCCATAATGTTATACCCCTTGTCGAAATCCTGCTTGATCCGCGCCAGCATTCTTAAGAATATCAATATACATGTATACATAATTTATTTGCTATTATATATGTTGTTGTGTATTTAAACTAGTTTAAATTGACGGCAATTCGACACAAAAGTTCATGAACTTATATTATCAATTCATTACAATGAGTCCTATCATGACTTCAATTAAATCACTCAGGCATTTAAAATAAAATTACGTGAAACCGACGACAGTTGTACGAAATAGTCAAATATAAAAGGGAGGTAATATATTTTATCTAATTCTTAATTTTACAAAAAGCTCGAGAATGTTTATGAATGAAATATTATTTTATAATCATATCAATACATTATATTTAAAATATAAATCATATAAGTATATCTGTGAACTTACTTACACTTAACGGACAATTATTTTTGATTGAATATATAAACCATTTTCATACTACTTTCGGTAGCTTTGCGCAGTGGCGGTACCATAGCCAATGAGGTTCATCCGAGGCGTGGTTATTGCTAGTTGAAAACTATACCCAATACCCCGCGCCGACGCCCTGAAATATGGGCGGCGAGCGCAATTTATGAACGTCCTCACGGGGACTGACAAAAAAGCAAAACATCATCTTACCATTACTGGAAATAAGAATGCAGTATAGTCCGTTAACAAACAAACGAATGAATATCTTAAACTAGTTACATTCCATGATGTACGAAATATGTTGGATCAAATATTTTTGTAAACTTAGAAGTTTTAGACCATTCCAAGACCATAAAAAATGGGGGATACGCACATAAAAAACCCGGTACAGTATGTGAGCATTTTGCATACTTTACATTGAAATTTTGTTTCGTGGTAATAACAGACTGGCTTACCGACGCTAATTTAAATTATTGCGTTACTTTGGTACCATTCTGACACAAGTTAAACATATCTAACAGAGACGGTATTTCCGCCTTTGAGGTCGCAGACGAAACTTTCAAGGGAAGTCCAGTGCTCGGGTTTTACGCTTTTACACCTTCAGCTGAAACATCACAGGTGATTCCTATGAAATAAGAAATCTCCAACTTCTACTCACAAAATGACTAACTCTAGGTCTCACGATTATCCAGATAGATGGCAGCAGTGAGCTTTAAATAATTATAAGTAGGAATTTGACACACCTTATTTTGTTTATGTATTATTATGTACAAGATATATTTTTCAGATGTTAGTAAGGGAGTTATTTAGAAAGTGGGGAGTCGATGGTTACATAAAACACTGTGAAGAAGTGAATGATTTTTATTCCAAAAGACGAATCGTGTGTGAAAGAATAGCCAGAAAACATCTTAACGGTTCGTATAATTATTATATCGATAGAATGAATGAATGAATGAATGAATGAATGAATGGACGGACGAACGGACGGACGGACGTTCCAACATTTTGTGTTTAGGGGCTATTTCCTTAATTTCTTTGTTTTCTTAAGGGCTACTAGCACATAAACCCTTTGATCACGGAATGAACCTATTGTTCTCTTTTGTTCTCTTTACTGTTATATAGCCCCTAAACCCAAAATGTTTGCTCGGACGGACGGACGAACGAACGAACGAATGAGTCAGACAGTCAGTCAATAACCAACCAACCCAACGAATGAATAAACGGACGAACGAACGGACAAACGTTCGATGTACGAAATAGCGTCTAGTGAAAAGGGACGTAATATAGCGGTATTTCATCTAATTCTAAATTTTACAAAATGTTAAGGAATAAAAGGAAACAATGTATGATTAAATTAATAATATTTATATATCATCTTTTGAATATTAATCAATAAACAGTATCTATGAACCTACTTAAAGTTAACGGGCAGTTATATTTGGTTGAATATATAAACCATTTTCATACTACTTTCGGTAGCTTTGCGCAGTGGCGGTACCATAGCCAATGAGGTTCATCCGAGGCGTGGTTATTGCTAGTTGAAAACTATACCCAATACCCCGCGCCGACGCCCTGAAATATGGGCGGCGAGCGCAATTTATGAACGTCCTTACGGGGACTGACAAAAATTATTAAATGTTTCAAAAAAAAAGTTATTGTCGTCGACAATAATAGAACAGGAGACATTAGATTAAACGTATTTGTAGACCCATAATATATGTGATTTTTCTTATCATAAAATTTATGAGAATAGAGAACCATTTATGCGCATCGAGATTAATTGCCTATATTACGTTGTTGTTGTTGTTTTGTTTTGTTGGGTTTTTTTTTTGGGGGGGGGGGGGGAATTGTTGGAAGTATTATTCAGTGGTCTGAATGGTAAGAGCGCTGATTTATCACGAATGAAAATTGCTTTCGGTACCTGTTAATTGCAAAAACATGTGGCAAAGCTAACCCTTTCCGCTGAATGAATGAATGACAGTAAGAACGAACGTACGAATACTTTTGGTTCGTCGCATAAAATGTACATGTATAAATTGATCTTCGTTTTTTATATGCAATAAAAATATCAATTATCATTTCTTATATATACAATGATTCAGGAATGGCTGAGTGGGAAAGCCCGACAGGTGGAATGTTTTTATGGATGAAGTTTAAAGGTGTAAAGGACACGTTAAAACTCGTCATGGAAAGACTTCTAAAAAGAAAGGTCCTTATTGTGACAGGGGCTGCTTTTTCTGCTGACGTCACAAGGCCGACACCCTATGTACGAATATCATACTCTAAAGTGTCCGAAGAGGATATGGAAAAGGTATGTCTTACTAATAACTATTCGGAGCACCCCGCCGATTACCGATACCAGTCCTATGTTTGACGGAAATGGCCGGAATGTTGCGATTGATAAATAACATTTTGTCATTGGTGAACGTTAAATTCAGGGTTCTGTTAAAATAGAGAAAAGAAAAAGGTGGTAGTTTTCTGGTTCAAAATGTTCAAGGTTTTGACTTTTACAATGGCTGAATAAAGGTGTACATTTGTTAAAAGATGGTCATCATACATATGAACTTTTTTTATGGTCAAGTGGGAGATTTTTCTTCAAAAAGAGGGAGATTTTAGAATTTGCAATAAACAAAGAAGGAAGTTCTGACATCAAAAATAGGGAGATTTCTTTAATTTGTGAAAATATTCCTTATTTTAAAAAGATATTTTGAAAATATAGCTGTAGATAGTGGGAGTGGGAGAGTTCACATGTGGTCACTGAAAAGAAATTATAGACTATTTCGTTTTAAAAAAGACTGATATTAAAATTAATTAGTTTAAGATGTTTCAATGTCAATCTAACTAACGTTCAGATCTACTTTAGTTATTTTTTGCATGTAGCGTTGATTAAAAGCTGATTTTAATTAAATTTTTACAATATGAGCATATATCGTAATCACGTACGAGTTACCTCGCTTGAATTAGAGCAAAGTGATTATATCGGGCATACGCCATTCGCTTTCATTGCTATCTATGAACCTGATTCTTTATTCTATTTGGTACATTGGTATTATACAAAAACAACATTTATCCTACCAGTTACAGATACATCTACTTTGGTTCTTTAGTCAACCATTTCAAACTGGATTTAGATTCAGTTTACAAACATTTTATACACATGAATGATAATACATTACTCTATTAGTGCAATAACAGCCTCATTTTGTTCACAGGTAATTAATATCCAGTCGATTATTTTCAGGGATTTGCTATCATTGCGGAAGAACTGAGAGCCTTGCAAAACGAACAAAATTAAGCGTAAACCGGCGGCTGCGTCAGAAAAGGGGCGCAACAACAATGTGACTTATGGATTGTTATCTTATACGAGTTACCTCGCTTGAATTAGAAAAGAAATATGTTTGAATATTTCTTTAAAATGTGATATGATATGAATTGCAATAAATATAATTTGAAATATAAAATTATTGGTGGAAGTTGTTCAGAAAGTACTTAATTATTTTCATAAAAAAATATTGACATTTTCTAGTTATTCATCCGCTCTTTAACTCTAGTTATTCATCCGCTCTTTAACTTTGTTAGATTTTTGTTCTGTGCACCTTATTAACTTTCCAGGACATTTGATCCCACATGATCTCTGATCAGCGGTAAGAGACGAATGACCATTAGAGCTTTATGTCCAAGATGAAATTCGCCTAACCAGCGCCGCCTGGATAAGTAGCAGATATTATTATAAATTATGATAGTTGCATTAAAGAAAAGATACAACTCAATTGCATTTGTTAGGAAAGATATATATGTATAATCTAAAACCAAATGAGATTCAATACTAAATAATGAAATCCGGTGACATTATGGTCATTTCATTTTCTTTGAATTTTAAATCCCTCTCCACAGATATTTTGATTTTTTTTCATGAAGTTCGGCGGTTTTATTAAGGGTACCGTTTGTGTCTGAAATATTGCCATAGAGGGTAGGGGAGGGGCTCTTATTTACCCCCCCCCCCAACTTGTGAAGTGTCACTGAGTCTTAAATATAAAATTAATCTATAAAATTCATTCTCCTTATTAAAATTGTGAATTATATTGAGCATTTGAAGCATTCAAAACTTTGTTGCGTAATGCAATTGCATTACAAGAGTTTATCTGCCGTCATTTAATCTCCATTTAATCAAGGTCTTTCAAAACCAAATTCTCCCAGCTTTTTCAATATGTAATTTCTCATATACGTTAAATAACACACTTCTTTAGGACTTTCTTTAATTATTAAATGCTTTTAAATTAAAAAGGATTATAATATTAATGGAACGAGTTTCACAATCATCGTCGCATGCCACTCACGCGAAAGGGGCTATCAAAGACTCAGTCCCTTTGATTTCCGATTCTTTCCGTTCTTTTCGATAATTGCGTCTTGTATAAAGTCTTTAGTATAAAAGCATTCCGCGAATTGCAGTGTTGCAAACTATTGCACGCGGGAAATGATTTCATACCGGGCGCAATAGGACGTCTTTGAAACACTGCTATCAAAGATTATTTATCAGATTACCGACTAATTACACTGTTAATATGTTGATATAAAGATGAGATAAGATAATCCTTTTGATTGTACTTGACAGCTGATATTAAATAAGCACTAATTCGTCAGAAATTTTGACACAATATTTGACAGATTTAATTATTTACGATGCAAGAACTTTACATTTTTTCTTGAGAGATGGTTTTTGTCTACACATGCAATTCAACGCAGGGTTTTCGTTCGGTAATTATGCCTTCCCGTGTTTTAGGGCAACTTGGTCATTTGTAAATGCGTACATGTATTTTTTTATGCGCATATATTAGTTTAAACAATATTTTATTTCTATTTTTACAACATATATATGTACAGTAAGCATATATAAACACACTGATATATTTCGTGGATTGGAAAACAAGTCAAATGTGACTTATGTAAATTCCTTTCCACACATAATATTTCCACGCATATATTATAGTAATGCCAAGGGCAGGCAATCAATTCGGGATTTCATTTATGTATTAGAAAAAGTACCCAGCTGTTTCTTAACATTTATACATTTTTTACTAGTTCTTTAAATGAAATCATTTTTGTTTGCATTCAAATTTCTTCAATTAAAATTTCTGACAACATTGTTCTTTCATTATTCACGGTCTTTCGTGTTTCTTCTATAAAATTTTTTTTTTTTTTTTGCTTTCTAAAAACTTAAAAAATTAACATGTGCAGTCAATATGTTATAGCTTTGGGTCCAGTAACATAACAATAGATGTGTAAGCCTCTAAAATCACAAAGGCGGTTCGTAAAAGTTGAAGTAGGAATTGTCAACTTGGCTTTAACCATCGCGTGTTAGCATCCGACCACTTAACACCTTTCTATCTTTTGATAAATCATTCGGATAAGTACGTACATTGTCCTTTTGGACTTAAGGGTGATAGTTTAACTCCCGGCGACCTCTCATCTTTCTAACCCGATTATAATGTTAACATCTCCGCGGCGAAAAGCACCGCCGTACGCTTTTATTTACTTAGCGCGTCTTATCCGAAATTGTGTAAACAATTTGGTGTTTGGACAAAACCGTTTCGCACTTCCTTAAGCTATTAAATAGATAAATTTATAAACGTTCACTATCCGTGCTATATCGTTATTATGTTGGCGGCATGGCCTTTCATCTATGTAATCCTAGGGAATAAACAGTTAAAGTTATTGTTGTTTAACTGATGTTGCTTCAGCCACATGTGGAGATATGATGGTGTTAAAAGTCCGCATTTCATTCAAAACATTTTGAGCGTTCGTAATTTTGGTCAAGTAAATTCCAACTTGTGTCGCATTCTGCCGTTATCATTGCCACGAAATGACTTAATATCGTTTTTTTAAGGTGTTTCTTTTTTTTTCAAACACTGAAAGTGTTTTATTTGATCTATTTTGTATATAAATGACAGCAGAAATGTTAACGTATTACGTGTTATTAGTACATTTGTCGAGAATAGGGGTAACGGTACCTGTCCCTTGATATTGTGTGTATGAAAAGAAGGAAAGAAAGTTTGATATTGTGTGAACCCGATGCTGTATGAAAAAAAAGAAAAAGAAAGAAAGAAAGAAAGAAAGAAAGAAAGAAAGAAAGAAAGAAGAAAGAAAGAAAGAAAGAGAGAAAGAAAGAAAAAGAAAGAAAACAAACAAAGTTTTTATAAAAATGATAAGAAAAGAACTATAACAGTTGTACAGAATTTCCGGGTTTTTTTTGTTTTTGTTTTTTTTTGTTTTTTTTTTTTTTATTGGGGGGGGGGGGGGGCGGGGTGTTTGTTTCTTTCATGTGGGACTTTTGTGATACAATTCTACAGTATATTTTCATAGAAAACTGGGGCTTGCGGAACGTGCATATTAAAATAGTACCATTTATGAATTGCATATTTCTCATTGGACCGGAAGTTCCTGTTAGCGCTGTCACAGATATGAAAACGCATTTACAATAGCAACATATAAAATAAGTATTTTCTATACATCAAAATGGCTCGAACAACTAAACCTAGAGTATTATAAATTTGTTCCCAGGATAACTTAAACCTATTAACAAGCATTAATAAAAGTATTAAATAAATTACATAATATATTATGACATCACATACAACAAAAAACTAAATGAAGTTAACAAGGCCCTCAAAGTGTCAAATCATAATTATTAATATTCATAGGAGCATGTCATAATCACTGAAAAGCTATCTGTCTCATTTATCAAGGATCTCTTTTCAAGCGCGCATTCTCGCACGACAGGTGGTGTCGTAAACTAAACTAGTGTCATGAAACGAAAACGAGGCTGAGTGTAAAGGAATCCCCGGGAAAATACCTGTGCATGCGCGATCCGATACTTGAAGTCGCGTGCAGCCGAGTGTCACTCCGGCTTGTTGAAGGAGCAGATGGCCCGTTTTCTGAAGTGGGGTCACAATTATGAACACAAAATAAATATGACATTTATTATTGTAACAATCTCGGAAGTCGAGAGCCCTCTTGTGGATTTCCTATTAACGGTTATCATTTTAGAAAATGGTTTGATTAAATCCAGGAAGGCAGATTCAACGCAAGGATTGCACGTGTCAGTCAACTGGTCTGTCTAAATACGTCAAAACTCTTAGCTGAATGGTCTGTTTAATTAATTGTTACGGAAAAAAGATACGTTTTTCCTTTCATTAAATGCTTAAATGAGTATTAATAAACTGATCATTTTATGAATAATACAATCGAATGTATCATACCGCATCGCGATAACCATGTAATTATTCTTTTATTTCCCATTTGTTAATGAATACCTTCAATAAGCGACTTCTTGCTTATAGCGACCGGACTTTCACTTACAAACTGTTGATGTTTTCTCTCATTTTTGTTGTTGTTTGTGTGGGAGGGTTGTTGTTTTATTAATTATTGGTGCTTTTTTTCTAGGGTTGCTTTTTGTTTTGGCTTCGGCAATATGTGAGCATGTTTCCATCAAGGACAACCCATGTGCTCACCAGATTATCCCAGAAGTTTATACACATTCATTCAATAGGACCTATGATAATATTTTAACGAAAAGATCAGAAGAAATAGATAATATTTTATAATTATTGGCCTTTACGGGTATTACGGGTATTGTCAGTTATTATAATACTGCACGTTTGTATCGTCATTTTTCATTGGATAATCGTGACGTTTATATAGTTTTATATACACGGCTGCTGTCTATTCATGAAGAAATCTTGTTTTTTTTCTCTAAAAATGATGCTTGCTGTATTATAAATTCGTTATAAAGATTGTTGACAGGTTATATGGCCGTATATAAACGGCTATTTGCAATATAACCCTCGCCTTACGGCTCGGGTTATATTTACAAATAGCCGTTTATATAGGGCCATATAACCTGTCAACGATCTTTATAACTAATAATATATACTTGAATTAAACGTGTCTATGAAAGTTTTATAATTTTGCAAAATAAGTAAATAAATAAGTAATGTAAGCTAGAAAACGGTAAAGACGCCTGATATAATTATTTGTCTACAGAATCTGTTCAAATAGATATGTCATTCTATGTAATCCATTTCGAAACTCATAAACTTATTCTGAGAACAAACATACCATTGTCTTACATCTACATTGCATATACATAGAAAATTGAAATTCTGACATTTTCATGAAATAATGACCTCATACTGGCATCTCTGTGTTTCCTGAACGCGCACGCGATTCACCGGAACCGGTGCTTAATTCAGTTGTTAATTTGTTACATACTTAATTCTTACTTGCTGAAATCTAACTTACTTGTGTATCAACAGCCAGTTGACACTAATTGATTAATCAGCAATTAACACGGCTTCACGTGCTATATTACCGCGTGAGTCGTGAAGCTGACACGTAACGTGAGAATTGTTACGTCATGAAAATCGCATTATAACGGTTACAGACTGCAGTGGTTTTGTGTATCTGGATAGCCTCAGTTCTGACTTGATGA